GACTGTATAAGTACTTACTTCATTCCTTTAGCTAAGTTTATTTTTTTTCTACTTATTATTAAATTCCACAATTACTTGCATATTATTTTTCTTATTTATTTTATTTATTTATTCACGCTACTAGATACTAATCCCCACATTACATCATTGTTTAATAAATCGTTACATTGGTATTGATGGGTTTAAAACCAGGGAAAATTATAAGTTTTAGGAGAATAGGTCTAGTTAGTAACATAGGTTATAAAAATAGTTGTAAAGAGACTTTGTAAAGGCATCGTCTACTGCCTATGCCTAAAAGTGCTAATAATCTAATAAGAGCCTCTTTGTCTTGAATTTCTCCTAACAACCCTATCCACTCGGGCATTCGTCGCACAATATATTGATTATAATGCGTAGTTTACTTAAATGATTTCAAAAAAAAAAAAAAAAAAAAAACAAATTGGTAATTATTAAAAAAAAATACATTTAATTTAAAAAAAATAAATAAAAAAAAATAATACAAACTTTTGCAATATAATCCTCAATATTGTACGCAAGATCATCAAACTTTATAATAATTTCAGAATCCTTTGATCCAATAACAATAACAGGATAATATGAATTTGAGGCGATAAACTGAAATTTTTTTATAAATGGTCCAATATTTAACCCTAAATTTGTGAACTTTATTTCTAGCAGAATAAATTTAAATGCATTTAATTTTAAGCAACTTTACGATGATAATACCAATTTATAAAAATTATTAGAATAACACATACTAAGTTTTTTACCATTTTTTGTGAGCAAATATTCATTTTTAACAAAGTTATATCCAAATCCAACAATATCTCCAGTTGTAAATCCTTCTAAAGTATCGATCTTTTGTCTATTATAATAAAAGCTTCCACATCCATAATACCCAGAAGATTGATCACATTTACCTTTAATTAATGATGACAAACATAATATACTAAGTTGTCTGTATATAACTAATAGATAAGTTAGAAGTTAGATAAATAATTACCAGGCATTTCATTAGTGTCTTTGCACATTCCAACACCTATTTTACTAAAAATTTAAAAATACATAAATGCAGTAAATTTATATAAATTAATTGCTACAAATTAACATCATTTTAATCTCAAATTTTATCATGAAATAGAAAACTAAATTAAGAAATTAAATAATCTATTCACAATAACTTACGTGCAGTCACTACTATGAACAATAACAGTTTCATAATAAAATAATTTAATTTCTGCGGAAATGGGTATATTCGCTCTAGCAGTGCCTGCCTCTTCACCTGATAATTTATTTAACAAAGTTAGTATATTTTAATCAGATTATTTGCACATACAGGTGATTAGGAGTTATTCTCATAGAGACCTATATTTTCGATTTTAATCCATCATTCGAAATTTTCAAATGATTGTTATGATTGACAAATTTTGAAGGTAATTTTTTAATATATTCCCGCCACCTAGTTCCATGAATGATTTTAATATAATTAGGTGCATCTAACTATCATAAAAAAGTAAGAATAATAAACTTTGTAAATATAATTAAAAAGATTTAATTGGATTTTAATAAAATATTTATATACCATTTTCAGCTCTGACAATTTAGATCTCATTTTTGTAATGTCTTCACATTGTGGAAATTCAACATTAAAATCAAGCTTAGATTTATAAATGTAAGCTATAAGGTTAGCTTTATAAGATTCCGCTTTTTCATAAAGTTCTTTAAAATCTGCAAGATTGTTACTGTCATTATCACTTCCTAGGCGACCAAGGTAATTATTTTTCGCTTTCTCTATCATAATTGATAATTGGTTATACTCGTAAATAAGCTTTACTGCTTCCTGTTAATCATAATAAAGAGACCTTAAATATATATAAATCGTTGCGAAAGATTAAAATAAAATCAGATTAAACCGAAATTTTAATTTGAAATGACGCGTCATGATAAAATTTGAGATGTCTTTTTTTAATTTTTTTAAGAATAGAGTTTGGATTTAGGATATTACTATGTGTTAAAAGAAGACTCCGATTTTCATTTTAATCCGATTTTATTTTATTTTATTTTTTAAAAAAAATACTTGCCGCAGCATTGTTTAATAATACACTATCATATTTTAAATGCTTAAGACCTAATTGATTAAATTCCGGCATTTCTTCATAATAGGTAACATCGACGTAGATGATTGCAGGATTTAATAAAACCGAATTCTTAAATTTTCTGGCTTCTTTGAATATAGTTATAAAATTCAAATCTTTTATCTACGAATTATTTAAATTGAGGTAAAAATTAATAAAATGTAGATTTTACACAATAAAATACGATGAAGTTTATTTTTTAAAAAAAAAATACTTCTATATTTTCACCACCAATAT